GTATCGCATCGCATAGCACCGATATTTGTACACTGAAAAAAATGATGTATCAACAGAGTTTTTTTTACCGAAAACAATTTTGTCAACAGTTCATAATAATATTAATGAAACAAATCAAATTTCATCAAAGCAAGAGCATGATATATTTATTTCATTAATAATTGTTGTTTGAATTAACAAAATTATTTTCAATGAAATATTAATGCCTGTTAATATAACATCATTTATTTTCAGTATACATGTGCAGAAAAAAAGAGATTATTCTTAAATCGACCATAATACGCTCATGTTTAAGCAAAAATATTGTAATCTTGTTTCACAGATTTTAGTCTTGATTTGATTGAGTTTGCATTGATGCAAGATTTTTTACTAAGCAAGTTTTGAATTGAATGCAAAGTAATGTATATCAACACAAAACACTATATATACGAGTACATTATGGTTAATTTGAAGTCTTTTTCTGTGTACGTTCCGGAGATATGCCATTTGGTGATGTCTTTAAGTCATTCCATATGGATAACATGTGGATGACGGAACGGGGTCCGAGACCGATAGGTCCGAGATAGCGAAAATCGAGAATATTAGAATTGTGATTGATACGTCGCGAGCAATCTTGAAGAAGGTTATTAGTACATGTAGAAAATAACGTTTACAGACGTTTCCGAATCATCCAATTACTTTTAAAGCGCCAAAGTATATACTTCAAGTAAGCTACTCGAGTGTCATTACCGTAAACTGTTAAATTATATACTCGTTATATTAAGTGAAACAGAGGATTGACGTTACGCGGAAGAATCCGAGAATCTTCTCTTGCGAGATTAAGGATATCGGTGAACGAAGTATTTCGTGTACTGTATCCTCTATATTAGATTGAATGATAGACAAGATAAAATTTTTTTTTAATACAACCGACAAACATGACATTGCCAAATTATTGACTTCTGTAAAATTTAGTATATATATTTACACAAGAACTACGAAAATCGTACGCGCGATCTAACAATTGTTTTCTCACTGAAGCACAAGATATATCGAAGAAAAAGCTTTGCACATGGCACACATACCTGCAGGGTTTGCACCATTGGCTTTGTTGATCTAATCCATACCTGGCGCGGCATTTCTTCATGTTATTACCTAGAAAGGGAAACAGTAATGATTAATGCTATGATCGTGGATTGTTTGCAAGTAGGATTACTATTCGACATAGTACATTCTGTCAAAAGAATGACGTAGTTATTGACATCGCCATGTGAGAAAGATGTGAAGAATCAACTCGAGTAATCTATGATCACACGTGGTAAAGGAAAAAAAAAACAATGTTTATATATATATATGTAAAATAGAAATAAGTATTATTATATATTGACAAACCGTGCGAAATTGTCGTGTACGATTTAATATGCAGAAACGACGTAATCTACGTAGTATGGAGTGCCCGAGTTTTTGCGTCAAACGTACTTATGTTTCTGTGAATGTCAAATGAATTCAACGAATGTCAACTAGTCATGCGTGTAACAGAACGGTGTTAAATCCCTTGAGATCCAAGAACACCGATTATCAATATGCATTATGGGTTCTCTCCCGAGAAGATTTTACAAAATTCAATAATATTATAGATTACCTAAACCCGTATTTAGTACAAGTAATGTAATTTCAAAATTGAATAAAATTTCTTTCACAAATTAATGTAACAAAAATTTATTTCGGTGTTACGACCTCAAAGGATTGTAAACAGTATGTCATAAGATCTTCATCGAAGACGCTATCGATATCAAATATAACACATTAAAAAACAGATTTTACATAAAAATATGACGTAAATAAATAATAAAAATACAAGAATGTATTTGCGTAAATTTTTCTACTTTAGACGATCTCATACAGAGGTTGATAGTCTTCGAGGAAGGATCCACGCATATTGACAAAGATGCATCAATCATTTATTTTGAAAGCGATGCAAATCCATTTTTAATGGTATAAATTTCAATAAGATGTTAAAATAAATTCATGTAATTTATTTCAAAATCAGACTTACGTCACTTTCTAGATGAATGGCTTATCTTTGTCAAACAAACAATATGGCATGCAACGTTAACGTTAAAACAGCTTAAAAACACGATCAAAGATCTACTTGGTTGAAATGTCGTGACTTGTATTATAAAAATATAAAAATTCCGGAATATATCTAAATATCAAAAATATTATGGATGTGAACGTTCTATCGTACGAACTTTTCGTATGTGGAGGTCGAGAATAAATTGAGTGACTCGATTAAGTAACGATAGAACGAAAATAATAAAATTAGAATAAAAATCAAGGAATTCAGGTAACATTGAAACGATCAAAGAAAAAACAAATGTACGAATTAAGAATCGAAGTACAAGAATAAGAGAATGATAGTGAGAGAATAACAGAGGGAAAAATAAAAGAGATAAATATTTAATAAAATAAGAAAATGAGTGAATAAATGAGAGAGAGAGAGAGAGAGAGAGAGAGAGAGAGAAAGGCTGAAAGAAAATTAAACGCTAAGGATTGTCTGATTGCGGAGTAGGTCCCTGTAAAAATGCAAAATGGCCAGCGTCCCCAAAGTTGTATACGTAATTAATAATAAAATGCATGGATGTTTGTCTCGATTGTGTGTGCGCGCACGCGCGAGTATGTGATGTGTGCATGTGTCCTGTGCATAATAATGTGTGTCACATGTTGCCAATGTGTAATGCAGATATATAGGCACGCACGTGCGCATGCGTATGTGCACGTCCGTACTCGCGACTAATGTAAAAGACCATATATATATATAATAGAGTCACATTTATATATATATACATATATGTATATGTGGACGTATAT